TTTTCCGACATGGCTTGAAAAGATCATTGTTTTGAGAGTGTATAATCTTCCTGGGTGCTTTAGCTCTGCATTTTTGGTGTACATGTAGTAGAAGATAGTTCAGGTCCAAGGGTTAGTGGTCATTCTAATTGATATAATTCGTAATTCTTTTGGTAAAGGACACAGAAACTAATATGTGATGTCATTGTGACCCATTTGACGATTTGGTCTCCGATTCATTTTACATTTAATGTGTAATACTAGTATACTACTTATAATATGGTTATACTTATAGTATTATATAGATCAGTAAGTGGTAGTACGGAAAGAAGCAAGAAAAAGGAGGGAAACAGAAAAAAGTGGGAGAAGATCCGAAAGAGGAAGCACACGCGGATCCTCATGCAAACCCAATCCTCTCTCCTCACCGACCCCATGTGACCCCTTCACTCTTCTTTCTCCTTTTCTTACTCTCTTTACCATACAAACGAATCTTTATCATAAACAAAGTTGATTCAATACCCTTGTTCACAGTTTGTACAAACCAATAAAAAGAAGCATAGCTATGTTCATAGTTTGAGAAAGCAAAACAAGTCTTAACGAGAAAGTGACAAATTAGCTTCTTCCACCTATTTCTTGGCTGGTGGTGCTTCAGCCGCATCTTCTATATCACGCTTCTGCTTCTAGACCTATGCGGACTGCACAAAGTAAAAACCTCATTAGAAGAAATTATCCAAAATTAACCATGAAAATAGATACGGAACTATCCAAAATTAGAAGAAAACATGAGGCAAACAAACAAAGAGAGAAAAATCTTGACCTTAAGCAACAATTTTCTTCTTTTTATCCTCGAGCTGTTCAAGTGATGTCAACGATTTCAACTTATCTTCAAGCTGGAAAGTGGGATGAAATTATGGTCTAAGACAGTTCAAATAGACAGTTTTAAAACCGTCACGGAGCAGTTAACCGCGTGAGAAAACCGCCTTGATGGACCTTTGGTCCAATTGCCCGAGCCCGAGCCCGGCCCGGTTCGGTTCGGTTCGGCGCGTGTGTGGGGTTTTCCACTTCTCACTCTTTGTCCATAGATGTGTTATGTTTTGAACATAGACACATGAGTGACCATATATATACACTATGAAAAACTCTCAAACTTTAGATGTGGGACTTTTTAAGTGTCACTCACTTAACAACCAAGAAGCTTTTCTCATTCACATTTTAGAACCCATTTTGACAAAACAACAAGCCCACTCAATGGTCCATTTTGACAAAATCACGGTTCCAACACACACAACATCAGAATTGTGGTAATTTAATGGAAACTACTACGAACCAGTTTCTTCTTGATCACATTCCCAAATCTTGAGTCAGCTAGAGCTATAGTTTCATCTTGACAATAAGATTCCAAAAACGTGCAAAGACCTTCGCTTAGATCTCCCTTCTCAAAAGTAGATCGTGCTTGAATAGCTTCGTGCTGTAAACTTGTCAAAAGCTTTCAGCTTGACCATATGGTACAAGCAAGAACAGATTATGTGAGCTATATTTCCTCAAAACCAAAAACTAACATTACCCACATCTAAAACAATAACCTTTAAAGCTTTTTCGAGGGTTGAGAATTGTTCACCCAAATGGTTTTTGATGACTGTTAGAAACCAGATGTCACCTCAATGTCAGACAAATTTCAGAAACCAGACTTGGCTAAATAAATCAGTCGGCGATCTATAGTCACTCAACATTGCAACATTTGTCCTCTGTCGACTATCTCTACATGAGTTATTATTAAGGTTGTTTCTTTATTCTTCTCATACTTTTTGCTTCTATGTGGAAATCTTGTTGTTTACCAATCG